GGGGGGGGGGGGGGGTCCTAAAAGAGGGGGGGCCACATTTGAGGGGGGGGGGGATTACTGCCAGGTCGTCGGGCCGAAGATCGAAGCCAGTTTCACGTTCAAAGTGGGTCGCCCTGTCGGTCTGAAGCAGCGGGACGAAGTCTGAGTCCAGGGGCACCTTGAAGACCAGCGAAGTTTAGTTCTTGGGCATAAACTGCACGCGCACGAAAGCTTCTACCCAGACGGTGCCACCGCACACACACGAGTCTCACAGTCTCCAGCTTCAGAGATGACTCCTATCTCCCCCCCCCCACCCCCCGAATGCAGAAAAGTTTTTTTTTTTTAAATTAAAGAAAATTTTGAAATGGGGCATGTGTGGGGGGGGGGGGGGATGAGATTCCCCCCTCGCTCCCTGTGCCGGAGCTGTGAGCCGTCCACCAGCTGTGACAAACTGAAAACAGAGGGCGCTTTGACGCACGCCACATAATGCACTTTCAGCCAGCCGCCCTTTGCGACTCGGTTTTGCCATTCCACCCAGTAAAATCCAGCTGCAGAGTGCATTGAAGGGCGTGGGTCTGCCCATCAACGGGTGTGAGCCAAAGGGAGCCTTCCCCTTCGCAGGCAGTCTGCGTGGAGAACAAACGCCGACTCTGTCCGGATCAGGCCGGGCTCTCGTGGCCTTCAGCAACGCGAAAGGACTCCCCCTTGAGCATGTGCAAAGAGCCCGCGCCCCCACCCAGCATGCGCAGCTGTCGCGAGGACGCTCCTAGGCGGGCGGGGCGAGCGTCTCTGGCCACGAGGCACATCCCGGGTCCAGCGGGCGGCAAGCACTGGGAAAGGAAGCGTCTCGGGGAACCGCCGGTGGTCGCGTCCCAGTAGGGCCAGGCTCCGAGGAGGAGGACAGGCCCGACTGCCCCTCACCCGAAGCCGTCCCCGTGGCGGCGACTGCCCGCACTTCGCTCCGGAGGAAGGAAGGGGGACGGCTCCTGGCGGGCCCGGACTCCAGAGGGGCCCCAGGCACCGCGGCGCAGGCCACCGAAGGAGACATCCGCGGCCGCTCCCCCACCATCTGGAGCGCGCGCCTCCTCGCCACGTGGAGCGGCGGCTCCGGCCTCGCCTCTCCTCCCTTCCCCGGCAGGCGCCAGGCCGGCCTGCGGAGGTTGGGCGGAGGGCGCCTCCCCTCCACGGCCTCACCTACCTCGCCCGGCTGTTTTGTGGGGAAGGCCGCGTGGTGGCCCGCGCTGAGCTCCGCGAGCGAGAAGTCTGCGCAGAGCTCCGCCTGCCCGCGCCTAGCGCTGCCCGGCCCTGCTGCCAAGGAGAGGGGGACCGCCCGGCCGTCGCGGCCGCCCCCTCCGGGGCCCGCTCGGCTCTTACCCAACCGAGCCTCGCGACAGCCCGCTGCGCCGGGGCGGGGGAGGAGGCCGCGACCCGCGTCCACTCTGGGGAAGCGGCTGCTCCGGGAGTCCAGCCCTGCTGCCACCGGACCTCTCCAGGGCACGGGGGACAACTTTGCCCCGCTGGTTGTCGGCGTATCATTTTCCTTGAAAAGAACTGAGGGTCTCTCCTCTTGCAACGGCTCCTGACAGGGGATTTGAACTCATCACCCATTCACACCCTGGTAGGGGCACGCTACCCCCTTTACTCCTGCACCGGCTGTCAATGAAATATAGCAGTCCCGGGGGGCCAAAACCTTCTGGGCCCAAGTCCACCGGAATTCTTGGAAATGCAGCTGGTGTAACAAGGTAGAGCTGCAGCTCCCCTTCATGGTTTGTTTTCAAGTCCAGCTCCTAGAAGCTCAGACCATTGGCCACACACTGGCTGCTCCCCACACATGCCCCCTGTCCAGATTCCCTCGGAAGTAAGCCTTGCAGAGTCCCACAAGTGCATCCTTTTCAACTAGAAGCAAACGGGAGCTGAAAGGCACCTTCAGCACTTCAAGGCTGGTCATTCCACTGAAAGCTCCCACGGCCAAGCGCCCACTTCTTCCATGGGAACTACCACACAGTAGGTATGAAAACTGCCCCCCCCACACCATGCTGAAGACTATGTCCCCAGGCAGGTGGACTGGATTTTCCCTGCCCTGCCACAGGGCTCCCCCCCGCCCACCATGCAAGCTCAGGAAACCAGGGATGCCCCACCTGCTAAAACGATACCCCCAATTAATCAGCCTACAGGTACCTTCCTAGACAGACAAATCCCGCTACATTCCAGACACAGCTAAGGACACCCTCTCCGAAGAAAGGGCAGCAATCCAGGGAAGGAGCCGTACGCCTCCCCAAGGGCTGAATGCAGAGAGAAATAAAATGGGGTTTCTCGGCTACTTCCCTGCAGGACGCTCTTTTTTGACTCCTCTCAAAGACACAATGATTTCTAGGCTGTGTCCCGCTGGAGATTCCGACCTCCCAGCGTCAGGTGTCTTAATCGGAGACGAAGCCCAAAATAGATGCCAGCCGCCACAAGCGTGGCCCGCTTCCAGCCTGTGTCATTAGTTGCCAGAAGCCAGAGAGGGAGAGAGAGAGAAGGGTTTCCCCCACCAGTCTGAGTTACAGTCCACCCCTCAAGCAGCCCTGTTTTGGATGTGGAGCAGAAGGCCTCCAAGGGGTGTCACGGCTCCTGTTTTGCAAGGCTGGCTGGAACAAAGGCTTCAAAAGCAAGAACTGTGTTCCGAGAACTTGGGCACGGCAGCCGTGTCTCCTGGTCACAATTTCTGCGGGACCCACAAGCACTGGGCCAGCAAGTCTTGCAAAGCAACCCTGGAACAGCACAGGATCCTTTGGCCTTCGCCAAGGCAAGCCCCCCCCCCCCCCCCCGGGGACCCCCCCACCCCCCCTCGGCCAAACGGC